CGGGCCTTCGGTGGTCCCCTCCTCGATTTATCATGAATGAATATAAGTTCAGACTTGAGGGGAGCCACCTTGAGGCCCATCCTATTCAGGGAGCCCACCACCTGGTCTACCGCCAGTCGTCCCTTCTCCAGGACGCTCCGCCAGCCCCTGCCCCCGGCCAGCACCATCGTGTCGTCTGCGTAGCAGACGACGCTGCAGCCGGGGGGGAGGGCAAGGCGGAGGACTTGGTCGTACGCGATGTTGCATAGAAGGGGTCCTAGTACGGACCCCTGAGGAACACCGCGATAGACCACCCTTCCGCACTGGAATTCCGCTTTGTTACGGAACTCCAGTCTTCGATCCCGGAAGTAGTCCCTAATAATTGAGACCAGATGGAGCGGGGGACCCTGAAATGGGCCAGACCCGCCTCCACCCGGTCCCAAGGAAGGGAATTGAATGCGTTGGCGATGTCCAAGGACACCGCCAACACAACTCCCCCCCTCCTCACGACGGCCTCCGAGAAGGACCGGACGCGTAAGATCGCGTTCACGTTTGACCGTCCCTCCCGGAAGCCGTATTGCTCCTCGCTGAGCGTTGAACTACTCCAGGATAGGTGCCGGACGAGGCGGGCGTGTATTATTCTTTCGAATAGTTTGCCCGCCTCGTCCAACAGGCATATTGGCCTGTAGGCGGAAGGGCTGTCCTCGGGCTTGCCCCCTTTTCGGAAGAGGACCAGATTGGCCCTCTTCCAGGGCTGGGGAACACCCCGGTCCTCAAACAGAAGGTGAAGAGCCGCATTGTGCGACTCTTCACCTCCACCTCCTTCATCGCCAAGGCCCACACTGTGCCTGGGATGCCGTCAGGGCCCGGCGCCCTTTTCTTGGCGCCGAGCCTTCTGACGGCCCTATCTATCTCCATCTCGGTGACCTCGACCGACTCCTCCTCCCCGTCCGGCGGGGGGCCCTCGTAGGGGGGAATGCACGCTTCCCCCCATGGAAAGAGGGCCTCCACCACTTCGTCGAGGAAGTCGGGGTCCAGGGACGCCGTTGGAGGGGGTGCCCAGTTGCGCAGACGCCTCATCACGATGTGATACGGGCGCCCCCATGGGTCCCTGTCGATGGTGAAGACCAGTTCATTCCAGGCACGGGCCTTGGCCGTAAAGATGGCCGCCTTGAGGGCGCCACGCTTTTCGCCGTACGCTCCCGCGGCGGCCATCCCACTTACACTGTCCCTTCCCCGCCGGTCCATTTTACGCCTGGCTTGGCCGGCGGAGTGCCGAAGTTCGGCAATCTCCGCCAACCACCAGTACACGGACCGGCGGGGGTGTGGCCGGGATCGGGGCATGGCGGCGTCACACGCCGCTGACATCACGCCCACGAGCCCGGCCGCCTCAGCCTCAATGGCGGCCCGGGTCCCCGGTGTGGGGCCCGGGTCCGCCAATGTGGCCGCCGTTAAGGCGGCCGCCAACCCGTCGGAATCGAGTTTGCGGAGGGCCCACTTTGGTGGTCGGGCACCCCCCCAGGCTGCGTCTCTGGAACACCTCCTCTGGGGCGGCGACCAGTCGTACCACGATGTATCGATGTCCGAGAGGTTTTTCCCCCTGGTCACCACCCGCCAATCCTGGATTATTCGGGCCGCCTGGGGAGACGCTTATGTGATGTCGATCACTGATCTCCCCCGCGGTTCGACGAAGGTGCTCCTCCGACCCCTGTTTATGATACAGAGGCCGTGAGACGCGACCGCTAATGAATATATACATTTTTTTTTTTTTTTTATAACTCAGGGGAAAATGCATTACGCATCCCCCGGAGACCTGGGGAGGTCACCGGGGGTATGTGGGACTCCCCTCCCCCTCTCTAAAGGAGAGGAGCAGGTATACCCACTAAAAATCCCTGAGTGTGTCCTTCACTGCGCAAGTAGGGCGACCCCCTGGCATCACCTTTCGGCATTCTTCGGGGGGCCGCCCCGCGCTGTTGCACTCGGTACTCTGGGGGGGAAAAGCGGCGGGGACATAGCCCCTCCCCGGTCGCTCCCCTCTGCCGTGAGGCCACACTTGCCTCTTTGCGCGGCGAGAGGCGGACACAACACCTCTCGCCGCGCTCCTCCCGATAGTAGTGTGAGGTGGGTCTCCCAAACCAACATGACCAGGGGTGGGTAAAGGTCACCCCCGGTCGTGGTGCCTACTGGCAGCGGCGCGGTGCAACCCTACACCGCGCCGCCTCCCTCCCGAGCCGCAATGGAGGAAGGTGCGCCCCAGCGCACCCCCGCCGCGGCCGGTATGGGAGAGGGGAGACCGGTACCAGGCGATTACGCCCAGTACCGGCCCCCCGGCGCCGGCCTGGTGTTCGGCCAGCGCCGTGGCCCCGGTCTTGGTGGTCAGACCGGCGCCATCTCCACCTCTCGCGGACCCTCCGGGGGGTGAAGTCTCCCCGCAGACCCAGCGATTGGTGGTGGTGGGGGAGGACCGGACCCTCCCGCGGACATCGGGCCTCCCTGGCCCGGAGCCGCGTTCGGCGGCCGGCCTCTGCGGTGGCCCGGCGCCGGAGCGCCGAACTGACCGCCCCCCATCAGCGGGCACCTGGGACTACCCATCCGGTGACCCGGGTCCCGTCCCTCCTCACGGCACACCGCGCAGGCCGCACTCTCGGTGCAGACCCGCGCGGTGTGCCCGGCTCGGCCACATCGGTAGCAGAGCCGGCTCCGGTCCGTAGATGCGGAGCAGGCCGCCCGGACGTGGCCGAGCCCCCAACACCAATGGCACTGGAGCGGGCGAGCCGGGAGCAATTCGACTCTCGCTCCCGCCCTCCCCAGGCCCACCCTCCCCTTCGCCGCCACCCTGACGGCCGCCGTGAGGGGGAGACGGTCCCAAACGGGCCCCTCCCCCCGCCAACTCCACCTGATGGGACCGAGACGAATTTCGCTCGGCCCGCACCCCCCTGCTCCGCGAGAACCTAGCTCACCTCCGCAGGGAGGACCGACTCGTCAAAACCGACGAGTCGGACCTCCCCCCACCTTGAAAGCCGCGTTACCGCGGCCCCCGGGAGCGACGCCCTGAGCTTCTCTGCTAGGGCGTCCGCCTCCCTCTCCTTTTCGGGTCCGGCCAGCCCGAAGAGGAGGCCATCTCCTGCGGCCCTCCTAACAAAGGCTGGCCGGACCGCACTTCCTGCCAGGGCGATATCACCTCTCGCCTTGCGGAGGGCCTCCGCGTATGTGAGGCCCCCCCGCTCGAGGCGTACCGCCACCGCTACCGTCGCCGGTGGCGCCGGCAACGAACAAGGCGCCACCGGACGCTCACGGACCGGCTAGTCCCTGATTCTCCTCCTGGGGGGGGGAGGGACTCTCCTTCCCCTCCCGCCTCTTCCACCCGCCCCGACTCGGCCGCGGTCGTTCGACGAGACCGCGGCGGGCGCCGCAGGCGCAACCGGTCTTTGTCCAGCCGGGAACGTCCCGGCAGCAGTCACCCGGAGCGGGGACGTCGCCCTGTCCCTCGTCTCGTGTCGTACCTCCGGGAAGAGAGATACGGTCCGGCCCTGCATGTTCGCGGCGGCAGCAGGGCGGTTAGCCGTAACCAGCTCCGCCCTATGCTTCCCTAACTCCTCCCTTTCACACGTCCAGCCTCTCCTTTCCTTATCCCATGCCTCCCTATCACACTCCCATTTGCGCTCCTTTTCCTTCCATTTACTCCGCTCCAGTTCCCACTTTTCTCCACTCTCCTGCCACTCTGATATCTCTTTATCGTTTTCCCTTTCCAACTCCACATCTTCATCAACTCACTTCTCCAGCGTCCTCACATATTTTTCCAAATACACCGTCCTAGTCCCAAAGGTTTTTGCCATTTCCTCGCCATACCTCTGCATCTCCTCCTTCCTCCTTCCTATCTCTTCCTTCTCGGTCTTGCTCATCCTCTTGCTTCTGGATATGACACTCTCGATCGCTCGAGCGCTTTCCTTCAAGTAACTCAAGCGCTCGAGGATAAAGTCCCTATTCCAGCCTTCGTCCTCCGGATCCAGCCATTTTCCTTTCCTTTCCACGTCCTTATGCCATGGCTCCTCTTCTCCAGACTCCTCCTCTGTCTCCGTCCCAGAGCCCTCAACGTCGATCTTTCTTTCCGCCATCCTTCTCTTTTTCCCTTCACCTCCTCTACCTGTCTCTACCTCTACGGTAGCTGCTTCGGCGTGCGGGCCCGTAGGCAACCCGCACGCCAGCCCGTCGCCGGATGACGACGACACCGACGACGACGAGGGAGCCGGGACGCTACCCCGCGTGCCGCCGGACCCTGGGGCTCCGAAACCCCTGGGCCGGTAAGTTTGCGTTGTGTCGTCATTTTGGTCCATCCTTTGAGTGAGAACTTTACAACCCCTCACTCACGGGCGGGTTTTTTTTATCGAGGTTGTCCTTCCCCTAGGTCGGCTGCTAAAAAGCTAACGAGCCCGATCTACCCGTGCACAAACTGTCAGGCCCTGCCCCGGAATAAGTCCGGACGGCCCTGACAGCCGCGCCCCCACCAAATCCCCCTCCCCGTCGGCCCGTCCGGCATGGGTGACCCTACCGGCGTGGCCCGACGGATCCTTAGGGACCGACTTCCGGGCAATTCCCCGGAAGTCACCCATTTCCCCTCCCCGGCGCGTACCCCGGAAAGAATTCCCGAGGCCGTTTGCCGGAAAGAAGAAAACCCCCATTATAGGACCCGGGACCCCCCCCATGCCAGGAGGCACGCCCCGAGGGACGTCCTCCCCAAACACAGGGCGAACCCGAGCCCCATTTCCCACCAATTGGTGCACTCTTAGACCCCAGGCTCTTCCCGTGGCCCTCCCAAGAGTTGGACTCTTGGTACTGCCCTGCGGGTCAAGACCCAGGGAGCCCCCTCACCACGTCAAGGTGGTGCACCCAGAGGGGGGGAAATGAATATATACTAAAAAAATATAATATTCTAAGTACTACAATAGACTTCTCGTTGTTTTGCTCCTCCCATAGTACGGCCGCAAACCGTAAACGCCTGCTATTTTTTTTTTTTTTTTTTTTTAAGTGGGGAAATGCCTACGCACATCCCCGGCCGCCGATGCGGAAGCGACCGAGGATAGTGTGGGACTCGCACCCACTAAAACCCCACTGCCCATCGCGCCATACGTGACGGTACCCGACATCGGCGACCTAAGGACACAATATCTCGTTAGAACATGTTATAGTTTTATATATAATTTATGACAAGTAAGCTTACTCACAAGTTATCTATGAGATTATTGTTGTGTAGATTATTC